GCAGGGAGAACCCAGGTCTTCTGCAAGAGTAAGTGTTCTTATGTGCTAAACTCTTCAGTCCTTATTTTTGTTTACAGTTCTTGTGGAGAGCCTGAGCTGAGCTGGGGCTCTCAGCTCCCACATGGTGGCTTACAGCCTGTAACTCCAGATCCAGGGTATTGACGCCCTCTGCTGATCTCCTTGGGCACCAGGCATGCGTGAATTACATAGATAAAAGTATACAAAAACACTCAGGCCAGGCAGTGGAGGTGCACGCCTTTAATCCCAGCACTCTGGAGGCAGATGCAGGTGGATGTATGTGGGTTCAAGGCCAGCCTGGTCTACAGTGTGAGTTCTAGAACAGTCTCCAAAGCAATGCAGAGAAACCCTGTCTCCAAAAAGCAAAAGCAAACAAACAAACAAACAAACAAAAAAAAACCCACACACATCAAACATAAATACCTAAGTACATATGTCCCAGCGTTTGGACAAGGAGTAGAAATAGGAGGCTCTAGAGTCCAAGGTCAGCATGGAGGTAGCAGAGACAGGCCAATCTCTGTGAGGTCCTCAAAGAAACCCTGTCTTGAAAAATACACAAAGGCTGTAGAAATGACTCAGTGGTTAAGAGCACAGGCTGTTCTTCCAAAGGACCCTGGTTCAACTTTAGCACCCATATAGCAGCTCACAATTGTCTGTGATTTCAGTTCCAGGGGACCCAACACCCATGACAAAACATCAATGCACATAAAATAAAAACAAATTTAAAAAGGAAAAACAACAGCAGAAAGAGCCCAAGATTATCAACAGTCAGAGTTGGAGCCTGGATTACATGAGACCTGCCTCAAAAGGAAACCTCATTTTTGTAAAGGAGGATTCTGACCATGGAAAGTGCAACACAGTGGGCAGGAAGGTTTTTATTGTTGCACTTGTTTTTTTTAATGACCTTTGACTCCTGCCTCCACCTCCCAAGTACTAGGACTACTACAAACTCTTCCTACCAGTGCAAGCCCTCTGCCCTGAGGCTTACTTAAGAGGAACTCATTTGGAAGCAGGACCGTGTCTCAAAAGCATCGATCTCTGTTTTTGGCGAAGGCACAGCTAAGAAAAGGACAGACAGATGGATACTAAATTTGGCTTTAGAAGCGATGCCTGTGATGCGCTTGATGAGAGGTTAAGTTACAAGTGGCATATCAGGAGATACCCTCAGGGGCTGGGATTAAGACATAAATAGGGCTGGTTTTGAAAACAAAACCCACATACAACTATCTAGGGTTCAATCAAAATCCATTTGTTTTCTGAAAATCTAAGGAAATAGAAGACATAGGAAATCCATCAATGTTGAGGAGGAATGGTCCAGGGTGATATTAAACCATCATCAAATGATTCACATGAACAGCTGAGAAGATCGAACTGAAGCTGATAGGAGGGGTCCAGAGTCTGCCCCACCCCCTGTCCTTCATAGCAACCCCCTCCTAGTGCGGCGGGCACGGTCTCTGTGTTCCTTAAGATTCTGTTCCTCCTTTTGCCGTGTGTGTGTGTGTGTGTGTGTGTGTGTGTGTGTGTGTGTGTGTGTGTGTGTGTGTGTGTGTGTTGTGTGTTTCAAAACAGGGTTTCTCTGTGTAACAGTCCTGGCTGTCCTGGATCGCTGTGTAGACCAGGATAGCCTCTCCTTACAGAGAGCCTTCTGCCTCTACCTCCTGAGGGCTGGGATTAAAGGTGTGTGCCACCACCCAACTCAGGTTATCATTTGTAATTTAAAAACTCAAGGTCTCCCCTCCCACAGTGGAAGCCAGGGCCTGAGGCATGGACTCTCCCCGGTTCTATTTCTCTCTCCTCTTTCTCTCTCTATATCTCTCTTTTTCTGTCTCTCTCTCTCTGTCTCTCTCTCTCTCTCTTTCTCTCTCTCTGTATGTGTGTTTCTCTCTATATCTCTGGCTGTCCTGAAATTCACTTTATAGATCAGGCTGGCCTCAAACTCACAGGGATCTGCCTGCCTTTGCCTCCCGAGTGCCCAGTTTACATTTATTTTATTGTACATATATGAACATGTGTACATTGATGCTGGACACATGTGTGGGTGAATGTCAGAGAACAATCTCAGGGAGTCTGTTCTCTCCACTGTATGGTATGGTGCCTGGGTATTGAACTTGAGACCTCAGGTGTGGGAGCAAGGCCATCTTGCCTGTCCCTGAGCAATATACTCTTCCTCTCTCTTAACAATACGAAATGCTGGAAGCAGATGGTAATTTCTCTTCACTGTTCAAAGAATTCAAGTGGACAGGGTGGTTGCACACCTATAATCCCAACACATAGGCCGTAGAGGCAGGACGGGAAGATTCCAGGCTCTGGACCTGAAGTATCCTTTAGGCTACTGCAGTTAATACAGACATGTGACCTTGCTTCTACAGAAAAAGGAGTTCTGGTTTCCCTGAAAGCCTAGAGGGAGGGGAGGCCAGTTAAGTAAGCAAGACCACTGAAATCACTAACTTCCAACTGCCAGGAGAGGGCTTGGGAAGAGGAATGTTGTTGAGTTTCATGGAAACACCGAGGCTGCAGAGGATGGGAGATGTCTACTTTTAGAGTTAGTTTTGACATGAGAAAGGGTCAGCCATCAGCTGCCTGTTTTTACCTAAAGCTTTGCCTCCTATGATCTTTAAACAGTCCTCGAGCCCTCCGAGCGCTGCCTGCATTTGTTGAAGGGATAAATTTACCCAGACAGGTGGAAGAACCATGACCTAAGGGTTAGAAACAGCTGCAGAGTCTCTGGCAGATGAGGCCATTCATTCAGCAGACATTAGCCAGCTTTAGAACAAGCTCTAAAACTAAAACATCTCGGGCCTACTCACATGCCATCCATTGGAGTTTAAATTTTTTTTGGTTGTTTTTTCGTAAAGAAATTCCAGTCTTTTCCTGGAGTGGTGGCGCACACCTTTAATCCCAGCACTCAGGAGGCAGAGGCAGGTGGATCTCTCTGAGTTTAAAGTCAACCTGGTCTATATAGTAAGTTCCAGGGCAGCCAAGGCTGCACAGACAACATTTAAGACAAAACAAAACTATAATTTCGGCACTCTTATTGCCAACATTTTGAGACTGTTTTGTTAGGTGACCCAGTATGATTCACAGTAGATCTTAAAAAAAAGCTAGTTGCTGGGCATTGGTGGCACATGCCTTTAGTCCCAGCACTCGGGAGGCAGAGGAAGGGGGATCTCTGTGAGTTCGAGACCAGCCTGGTCTACAAGAGCACATTCCAGGGCAGGCCCCAAAGCCACAGAGAAACACTGCCTTGGCGGAAAAAAAAAGCTAGTTCATGGCAGTGATTCCCATCCTTATGAAGAATGTCCTAGTGAAAGATCCTGAGTCTCCCCAGCAGTGGACAGCTGGAAGCTTATTTGGGCACGGGGAATGAAATGTCATTTCCTAAATGTTAGTCAGGTTAAAGGGCTTATTTAAAAACTTCATTAACCATCTACGCTGTAGAGTAGTAGTGCCCTGAACCACTGGGCTTTAGGGAGGGATGCTGGTGTAACCAAACACTGGGAAAGTAATAAAAGCCACGGCTGGGATGACAACGTAAAAACAACTGTGCAGGCCATGGCAGCAGACGGCAGAAAGCGATTTCATGATTTTTATTTTCTGTCATAGTGAACCGGCCGCAAACTCAGAGATCCACCTGTCTCTGCCGCCCAAGTGCTGGGATTAAAGGTGTGCGTCATTTTGCCCTGTGTCTACCGCCCTTTGTTTTTTGTTTTTTTGTTTTTTTTTTGGCTAAGAAATCTGCTTTTGCCTCTGCCTACTGGGTGTTGGGATTAACGGCACCCAGCCCCACTCCTGGCCTTAAAAAACAAACAAACAGAAAAACTTAGAAGTCTTTTTGTTCTTTTGTTTGTTTGTTTGGAGACATGGTTTCTCTCTGTAGTCCTGGCTAGCCTAGAACTCGATCCGTAGGAACAGACTGACTTCGAACTCAAAAGGTCAGCCAGTAGCTGGGCAGTGGTCACGCATGCTTTTTAATCCAAGCACTCGGGAGGCAGAGGCAGGCGGATCTCTGTGAGTTCGAGACCAGCCTGGTCTACAAGAGCTAGTTCCAGGACAGGCTCCAAAGCTACACAGCGAAACCGTCTCGAACCCGCCCCCCCCCCCCAAAAAAAAGAGATCTGTCAGCTTCTCAAATTCTGGGATTAAAGGCATGTGCCACGGCTGGGTGAAAGGCTTCTTTTGCGTATGTCTGAGTGCCTGCATGTAATTATGTACTCAGTGCCCAGGTCAGAGCCTCTGGAACTGGAGTGAGTTTGGTGCTGCCCTGTGAGTGCTGGGAACTGAACCCAGACTCTGCAACACCAGCAAATGCTGTTAACACTTCGTCCCCTCCCTCCCCACTTCATTTTTGCCACATATGTAGACCAGGCTGGCTTCAAATTCAAAGTGGTCCTCCTGCCTCAGTCGCCCAAGTGAAGGCATTACAGGCAAGTGCCAACCCACCCCGCTGAGTATCTTGGTAGTGTGTGTGCGCGTGTGCGTGCGTGCGTGCGTGCGTGCGTGTGTGTGCGTGCGTGCGTGCGTGTGTGTGTGTGCGTGCGTGTGTGTGTGTGTGTGCGTGCGTGCGTGTGTGTGTGTGCGCGTGTGTGTGTGCCTCAGGGACCCACAGCTGGAGGGCAGAGGTTCGGGGTTGGCTCATCCCAATTTCTGGGTCTTGGAGATCGAACTCGGGTGTGATGTTGGGCGGCAAGCGCCTTTCCTTCTGGAGCATTCGACGGCCCCTCAAGTAACTTTCAAAAGTGACAGTGAACGCTCATGGGGAGCAGCACCCGGTGGCCGGCGTGGGGGGAGGGGAGGCGAGAGCGGCCAGTCCCCGTTCAGGAAGGGGGCGGGGCTTGGGCTGAGCCGTGGCCAGCGCCGCCGGTTCTTGGGGCCGAACTGTGATTAGCACTGCCGAGAACCAATCGAAACGAAGAGATCCTTTCAAATTGGCCAATGGTGGCATGCGGAGGGTGGGTCCTGGGGGCCCTATAAAACGTGAGTCCGGCGAGTCCCGCAGCGGCAGAGGCTTGTGGAGCGCGGCTGGTCGTGGTTGCGGAGCGGTCCAGGCCTGTCGGTCTCAGTCCCCTCGGCGTTCTCCCTGCGCCAGCCTACCTCGCCCCTTGGCGCCATGACCACTACCACCACCTTCAAGGGTGTGGACCCCAACAGCAGGAACAGCTCCCGGTAAGGCGCCCGGCGCCGGGCTCGAGCTCTCCGGGGCTGGTGGGGGCCGCGGGGCGTTGGCGGTAACGGGCCGGGGACGCCGCGCTCGCGCCCCCGGCGGGTGGCAGAACGAGGTGTGGGCGCCGCTTTGTGCGGCCGGACAGCCTCGGCTGGTGGCCCCGCCCCGACCGGGCGTCTCTGCTCATTTCTCCCACGGAGCGACGGCTGAGGGGACGTGGGTGGCGGCCCCCAGTGTGGCGATACGGCAGGGCTGGCGTCCGCGAGAGTGTGCGGGAGGATCGGCTTTCAGCCACCCGCGGCGACACTGGCCCGACCCAGGACGGTGGGCCCGGTCTCCCCGGAGCCCACGGAGCCTGCAGGGCCGTGGGTCCCGGGCCCCATTGTCCCACTCGCGGGCCACGCGCTCCTGCCTCTGGCCCCGGCCGTGTGCTGGCCCCGGCCTTGGGCGCATCGAGCACATCTGAGCGTGAGCCCGCGGGGCTGCAGGCTCCCGTCCTCGCGGTGGCCCGCTGCGCCCCCGGGTCCGCGCAGCAGGTGCACCTCTGCTAGGGCGGGGCTGGTCGTCGCCTCCCTCACTCCCAGCCCGGGATCCGAGTGACGGGTCCTCGTCCCCGAGTGCCTCCCCGCGCCTAACAAAGGAGAGACCGGGTCTCCTCCCCCTCCCCACGCCCACCTCCGAGTGCGCGGGGCCGAGAGCCGACTCGGATGGGTTTTCAGCGCTCAGACCCTCGGACCTCAGCCCGTCTGGTCTGTGCCACCTTCTCCCGTTGACTTTGGCCGAATGAGCCCTCCCCAGAGCAGGCTTCCCTTGGAGGAGGAGGAGGTTGTCTGTGCTTGGGCGGGGCCACGGAGCCATCCATTGTCTCCCCGGCAGTGTGGAGTGTCCCCCTCCTGGAGCCTGGCACCTTGCTTGCCACCAAGGAGACTGCATTTTGGGGCGGAGCGGGGTGTGTGGACTGGGACCCTTTTTCGAACCTTCACTAACTTGGTGGGAGGGTTTGGCTTCTGTGAAGGGAGCCCACGGCGCTTCAGCACACGGTCCTCTCAGTGGGCTTTGAGGCATCTCTGGGATCTTCCTGAAGGTTCGGGTTCGGCTTCCCTGGCCGTGTATTCTCCACTGATGGTGACCCGCGGTCGTGTGCGGCCAAACCTTGGGGTCCTGGGCCAGGAGGCACAAAGGGGAGCCATTTTGTGGGACTAAGAAGACAGCCGGGGAGTAACAGTCTCACGCAGAGGTCTGACAACTTGGCAACAAAAAAGCAGCCTCCTCAGAGTAGTAGTCTTAGGAGGAAGCGCTGGGAGGGGACAGGCCGTGGCAGGGGCTGCTTTCAGTTTCACGCAGTAGCAGAAGGGCTGAGGTGGAAGAGAGCTAAAGGGACAGTCACAGGGCGGGGCAGAACTTGAGTGTAGACCTTGGAGACTTGGTGACTCCCTCTCGCCATCCCTCCAGTGAGGCAATTTGTTACACAGGGCACAGGGACAGATTGAGCCCTGGGTGTTGTTTGGTGCGGTGAGGCCAAACTTTCTGCTGGTCAGGCCTTGGTTACTGGTGCGATAATGTGTAATGTATGACCCTTTTGAGGGTCAGGTTCATCTCAAGGCTTCATAAGCATCTCGGAGCCCAGGCCCTTTACCTGTATGTTTGACATGTGAGACAATCGCAAAAGCACGTGTTTCCGGCCCTTTGTCATGGCTTGCCCGGCGGTGTTGTTGCTCAGGTCCCCTGGCCTGGGCTTCACTAACTTCCCGGTTCTCCTGCAATCTCACGGGTTCTCCCAGCCTCCTCCCTCAGTAATGTGCTTCTTGCTCTGCAGCCCCGTGATGGATGTGGTGTGGCAGAGCCGTGGGGCCGGGGTCAGAAGAAAGGAGCCGTTTTTAAAATTGCTGTCTGTGGCACAGCATTTGGGTCTTAACTCGGGCAACTCTGAAGCGGTTACCATGTATGTGGTTCAGAGGGAAAGAGTCAAAAGCAAAGCTGAAGTACTTTGTCTTGCAAGCAAGTCCTTTGTTTGGGAACCGCTCTGTTTCAGATGGGCTCTACAACACTGACGTCATCGGGGAGGTAGCACCTGCTATTGCAAGACCAGTGAAAGTTGGACTAGACAGAGCTTTGACATGTTTTTAAGCTGGCTGGGTGCTAGTGTTTATTATTATCGTTATTTCATAGCCAAAAAATATTTATAGGTCTACTCTGGTTCTGAAGATTTCACGAGGGTTAATTACACGTAGTGAAGAGATCCTCCTCTCCCTGGGGAAGGAGGGAGGGAGGGAGGACAAAGACGAACGTTGATTTTGATTGTAATATTTCAGGTGTTTACTCATTTAAGGCAAAAATTTAAAACAACCCCAGCCAATAAGAGACTGTAGGGCTGAAGAGGTACTTGCTTAGCGTGTTCACAGCCAGGGCAGGACCTGGTTTCCATCCTCAGCATCTCCCATTTCCTTTCACTCCCGCGTCACCCCAGAATCTGTCTGTACTTCTAGTAGTAATTTCAACGGTTTAATTACCTGGGAACCTGGACAAGGGGGTGTGAACCAGGGAGTCAGAAGTAGGAAGATGGCTTCAGTCAGGCTCCAGACTAGGACAGCTATATAATGACACCCTTCCTCAAAGTTTCAAAATTAAATGTGAGGATTACCATCTTCATAAAATATATGCCTAAGTTCATTTATCTTGATTTATATAATGAATTTACTCGGGGTGTGTTTAATATCTGAGACTTAAAAAAACATGTTGCCCAGGTTAGCCTCCAACTTGTGACCTCCTCATCAGGCTCTTTGAGTGCTAAGATTACCAGCATGTGCAGACATAGTTTTAAATGTGTTTTTTTTTTTTTTTTGAGACAGTGTCTCACCGTCTAGCCTCAACTGGCCAGGAACTAAATGTGTAGAATAGGTTGGTCTCAGTTTCACAGATCTACTTGCCTCTGCCTCTAGTGTCCTGGGATTTAAGACATGGCCACCATATCTAGCTGAATATTTATTTTTTAAAGTTATGTGGCTGTATGTCTGTGTGTACATCCATGCCGGTCCCTATGGAGAGCGGAGGCGTCCAGTCATCTGGAGTTAGAGAAGGTGAGCTACCTGATAGGCTCCACTGCCAGAGCAGCAAGTACTCCTTACTGCTGGGCCATTGCTTTTCCACGTGACGTCATTGTGTGCCTCTCCCCATTTCTTTTTTAAAGTATCTGTTACATTTAAAATTTTGTGACTGGGCATTGGTGGCACACACCGTTAATCCCAACACTCGGGAGGCAGAGGCAGGTGGATCTCTGTGAGCTCTAGGCCAGCCTGGTCTACAGAGTGAGTTCCAGGACAGCCTCCAAAACAATACAGAGAAACCCTGTCTTGAAGAACAAAAAAATTTTTTTCTGGCCGGGCATTGGTGGCACATGCCCTTTAATCCCAGCACTTGGGAGGCAGAAGCAGGTTGATCTCTGTGAGTTCGAGACCATCGTGGTCTACAAGAGCTAGTTCCAGGACAGCCTCCAAAGCTACAGAGAAACCATGTCTGGAAAACCGCCCCTCCCAAAAAAGAGAGATTTATTATGTTTTGAGAGGGGTGCCTGCAGGGTCCAGAAGGTGTGGATCCCCTGGAGAGTTAAAGATGGCTCTGAGCTGCCTGACATGGGTGCAGGGAACTGAAGGGTCCTCCATGAGAGCAGCAAGCCCTCTGAGCCCTCTGAGAACATGTTTCTCGCCAGGCTTGAGTATTGCGTTTTCCCCCAGTGAGACACTAAAGTTACATTCCAGAGAGAAGGTAGAGGTCCAAGTCCAGAAAAGAATAAAACTCCCATGGGTGTGTCCCTCAAGACACGCATGGCATTGTTTGATTGGCCCTTGATATATTGGAGCACTTGCCACAAGTCCCCGGGCCTGAAGATTCTCTGTGAATGCTGCACGGCTGCTTGGAGCAGAGCCCAGCACGCGGCCGCAGCCTCATGGCTTTGTGGGCCCTGAGCTGGGTGCAGTTTTGTGTTGGTAAGTGGTTGAGGAAACAGGGCGGTGTGACTGGCTGCAGCGCCTGCCCGCAAGTCAGGCTTGTTGCAGATTGCCACACTCCTCCACTGTCTGCTGCAGGTGCAAAGACTGACAGACTCCAGAAGTCCATTTCCAGGAGCACTTACGTGCTGTGCTCCCCAGCTCTTGCAGGAAGCAGGGGTGTAGGAGTGGGGTTTAGGATATAGTCTGAGAGGCGGGTGGAACCCGCTTGAGCCAGAGGAGTTGGCTCCAAGTGGAGACACGGTGAAGGGTGTGAGTTAGAGGAAGGTGGCTGCAACCGTCTTGCTTTGTTTGAGTTAAGACAGGGTTTCTTTTTTTTTTTTTTGTTTTGTTTTCTTCCAGGCAGGGTTTCTTTGTGTAGATTTAGAGACTGTCCTGGAACTTGTTCTGTAGACCAGGCTGGCTTCGAACTCGCAGAGATCTGCCTGCCTCTGCCTCCTGAGTTCTGGGATTAAATGTGTGTGCCTCCACTGCCTGGCCCCAGAAGCAGTATTTAAAAGAATTTTAGGTTGACAGAAGTATAGAGAAAAAGAAGACACTAAAATTAATCTAAAATCCATTAGTGAGAGGGAACACCCCTGTAGCACTGTGGTGACATGTAAATGGTTTTAATAATAGTTATGTACATGATCGCTATGTTCCAGATTTTTTATATATATGATGTTCCTATAATAACAGTCTTGATGGGACAGATACTACTGCCTGCCCTCATTTTACAGAGAAGAAACCTGAGGCATAGAGAGGTTAGGCAACTCACACCAAACTGGACTTGGTGGCTCACTTTTGTAATCCCACCCCCTAGGGCGCTGAGGAAGATTTGGTACATTTGAGGTTTGTTCAGATTTACACCTATGTCTTTATTTTATACCATTTCCCCCTAATAAGTAAAGGAACAGTATACCCTTTTGTTTTAAATTACATTTATTTTCTAGTCTGAGGAGGAAAAGCCCACCATGCTTTTGCCTCTGAGCTCAGCCCACAGAAGATGTGTGTCACTTCAGGTGTGGGCCTTCACCGCTATCGGATGTGGCATGGGTAGATGGCTGCCCTCTAACCTGGAGATAGAGAGTGCCTCCCACACACTCCCACCATGCCCAGTGTGTGTAGTCCTGGGAGCAGAACCTAAGGCTTCCTGCATGCGGGGCAAATGTTCTTCCCCCTGAACCATGCTGGTAGTCACCTTTTTCTTTAAAGGCAGGATTTCTTTTCTAGCCTGGATAACCCTGAATTCACTTTAGTCCACATTCTGGAATTATAGGCATGAGATAACATTGCTTTGCTTTTTACCCTCCACCCCCAAACTTTTTTTTTCTTACCCTGTGCTTTTGACCAACTGGCTGTAAATCAGGATTCCTATTACCTGTCCTTAGGTTTAATTAATTTGCCATAAAATTCAGGGAAACGCCTACATTTATGGGTTTATCCTGAAGGGTATAATTAGGTTTAAAGTATGAGAGGAGGGCGCTAGACTTCCATGGCCAACGCAGCTGCTTCCCCTCCAGGAGCCTCCAGTGTCAACTACCCAGAAGCTCTCCTGTGTTTTGTTTGTTCTTGAGGCCGGGACCTTTTACATAGCCCTGGTGGCCCTGCAGGTCACTCAACTACATAGACCAGGTTGGCCTAGCACTCAGAAGCCTGCCTTTGCCTTCCAAGTGCTAGATTAAAGGTGCGCTCTGCTGCCCCCAACCCCCTTCTGGGTTTGTATGAGATGGCATTGCTCTGTGCACAGGTGGGATTGTGGTGACAAAGGCACATTTCAAGCAAGGGTTTGTGGCAAGAAAATCCAAGAGTCCCAGACCAACCTATGCTACTACCCGTGACCCTGTCTCAAAAAATGAAGCTTGTCTCTTAACAGACTGGGTCAGGTTTTTCTGCCTCTGTCTCTTTTTGGTTAAATGGTTGTATGGCCCAGGCAGACACTGAATTGTAACCCTCCTGCTTCTGCCCTGCAGTGCTTGGTATTACAGATGTGTGGCCTCTCCCTGCAGCATCTTCCCTCCCCCTCCTTGCTTTCTGGTTTGTGTGGGTCAAACCTAGGGCTTCACATAAGCCTGGCAAATGCTCTATGTTTTGTTTTTTCCTTCGAAACAAGGTTTCACTATGTAGACCACGCTGGCCTAGAACTCAGAGACCTCCCTACCTCTACTGCTGCCCATCCCTCAAGTGCTATTAAAGGTGTGCTTGTCTGCCCATTCCCTCCTAGAGTGTCTTTGTGGCCAGAGCTAAGGTAGTTGGGACATGATGTGGATTCTGTAAAGTTTTGTTTGGGGGCTGGAGAAATGGCTCAGTCCTAACTTAAGAGCTCTGGCTGCTTTTCTAGGACTTTGTTTGAATCCCAGCATCCACATGGTGGCTGACAGAGCTCCAGTCCCAGGAGATGCACATCCTCTTTACCCTCCTTGGGCACCAGGCATGCGCACACTCGCACACAGACATACATGCAGACACACATGGAAGTAATAAACATTTGTTGTTGTTTAGAGAGAGACCCAGTTTATTTTAGTCACCACAGGGGCAGCAGTAGCAGGGTGGTGACACACTTGCCTGTCTTCTTGTGTCCTGTGGCTTCCCGTGAGGAGGGAGCTATGTCCCAGGGACTGAAGGGCACACAGCTCCATACTTAAGGATGCTATGTTTGGGGAACGTGTTACCTAAGGTGTGTGCACCTTCTTGACTCCTCATCCTCTCCTGCCTTAGTCTCCCAAGTGGCTGTGGCTGTGGGCCTTGCTCAGCACCCCAGCTGTGAGCTGAAACTTGTGTGTTTTAAGTTGCCTGGTGGCGTGGGCACCTGGATCTCCTCTTCTCTTGTGCTTCCTCTTAGTGTCTTCAGGAGTCCTGTCGTCTGTCGAGCATTTCTCTGCCAGTTTTCTGTTTCTGAGGCAGACTTTCATCTTGTGCCCAGGAAGCCTTTCTCACTCCTGTCCCCTGCCATGTAGCCCAGGTTAGCCTCCTGCTTCCCTAGTGCTGGGATTGCAGGTGTGTACTGCCATGTCTAGCTTGTCTCAGTCTGTGTAGCCCAGGTTGTTTGTTCTTTAACTGTGGTCCTTCTGCTTTGGCCTCTTAAGTGTGGGAGCACAGGCGTGAGCACCCCCTCCCCACCCTCTGTGGCTGACAAAGGCTCCATGGAGCTTATACAGCACATTTTCCCTTCTGTGGTGGGCACTGAAGCTCATCCCTTGGCTGTTGAGAACAGCAGTGAGCACTGACGCTAGAGTTCTTCAGGAGACAGTCAGGTGGCTCAGTGGGTGCAGGCCTGCTGCCTCAAGACCCAAGTTAGGTTCCAGGGGCACACATACATGGAAGAGGAAACCAGTTCTTGTTAGTTGTCTGTGCTTTCTGCCTTGAAACACCAAAGAGGGGTGTGTGGAGAGCTGGAGGTATTAGGTTACAAACGCTGTTACCTACTGAGTCACTGACAGATTTGCCTGCCTCTGCCTGCGCCCGCCTCCCGCCCCCCCCAGTGCGGGGATTAAAGGTGTGTACCATCACCTCCTGCCTTTATTGTAACGCGCATCTTCCAGCCAGCCTGGTCCCAAATGAACATGCAGGACACTATTTTAATCATGACGCTGTTGGCCTTCTGCTATGGTTTCTCATTGGCTAGCTCTGACTTAATTATTAACCCATAACTGCTAATCTGAGTATTTCCATGTAGTCTTATCTTATTGGAGAAAGGGTCCAGACATCTTCTCTCGAGACCTACATGGTGACTGTGCCTCTGTTTCCCAGAATCCTCCACCTCTCCTAGTCCTACCCATTTTTCTTCCCTATTGGCCAACAGTGCTTTATTCATCAACCAATGAAACAAACATATGTACAGAAGACTTCCCCATCACTTTATTTTTATATTAAGTGTGTGTCTGTGTGTTCAGCATGCAAAGCTAGAGTTACAAGTGGTTGTGTGCTCCAGTAGGGGTGCTGGGAACTACACTTGCATCCCTCGGTAAAAGCAGTATATTCTGAGCCATCTCTCCAGCCCCAAGAGTCTTAGGTCTTATATTAAGGTTTTGGTAATTTTAAATAGATTTTTGTGAAATGTGAGCGATAGGGATCTAGTTTCTTGTACAAATGTAGTCATTCAGGGTTTTCAGCAATATAATGTACTTGCCTGATCTCCATGGAGGCCAGAGGAGAAAATCAGATTACCTGGAATTGGAGTTACAGATGGTTGTGAGATGCCATGCAGGTGCTGAGAATTGAACCCTGATCCTCTGGAAGAGTAGCCAGTGCTTTTAACTGCTGAGCCCTCTCTCCAACCTCATATATTAAAGTTGAGTTACATTATTTCCCTCTTCCAGGCTCTCCTAGGTATTTTCCCTGGAGCCCCTCCCTCACTAGCAAATTATCATTATATATACCTACGTCTGTGTATGCATGAATGAACAAATCTAAACACAGCCTTTGTGTGTGTGTGTGTGTGTGTGTGTGTGTGTGTGTGTGTGTGTGTGGTTACAGAGCTAACAACTTTATTGGATAACCAATAAGGGGGCTCATCTCTGGGGGAGGCTCATTAATTCTTCCTCTGTCTTTTTTTGGTGACTCTCTGATGCTGCAGTCCCGGAGAACTGGCAGTCCTGTCTCTCAGTCTCTCAGTGTATGCTGCCTTGTTTAAGACTGGAAATGCTTTCCCAATTGATAAATAACAAGATGTTCTTTTGAACTTCTTTGCAAATATATTCAGCTAAACCCAGAGAGACCTTTCTTCCTCTTACCCTTTCTCAAAGGGACACAACTGTTACCTGGATGACATCCGGTGCCGCAGCTTCTGGCTGTGGATGACCCTACTGGAGATGGGTAATAAAGCACTGTTGGTATCTGATCCCCAGCGGTGGGTTACATCCGGATGGTCCTTTCCTTCCTGTTAGTGGCAGTCTTGAGGGGGTGGGGGATGGGTAAGGGAAGTGAAGGTGTTTGAACATATTTGTACCAAGGAGTGTATGATCTGAAGCTAACATCTTACTCTTGTTTCCAGGGTTTTGCGGCCTCCAGGTGGCGGCTCCAATTTTTCATTAGGCTTCGATGAGCCATCAGAACAGCCTGTGAGGAAGAACAAGATGGCCTCTAGCATCTTTGGGACACCTGAAGAAAACCCTCCATCTTGGGCCAAGTCAGCAGGTACTGGTTTGTCTTTTTTTGAGAGTTTCTCAGTGTAGCTCTGGGTCTTATAGGCCAGACTGGCCTTGAACTCACAGAGAGCTAGCTGCCTGTCCCTTATTCCCTGCCCCCTTCCCCATCCCCCAGTGCTGGGATTAAAAGCATGCACCACCACACCCGGCAGCAGATACCGGTTTTATAAGGTTACCCCTATCTTCATCACTGACCCAGCTGGATTGCTCCTGACTAGCAAAGGCTGAACCCAAAGAGGCAAGAAGCTCTTCACTGCTGGGCGTGCATCGCACCTGCAATCCAGTGCTTGGCAGACTCGGGCAGGGTGCTTGGGAATTGTGGGTAGGTCCCCAGCCTTTGGGAGTCTGCGTATGACAGCTGGAGTAATTCAAGGGTCAGAGGCAGAGTGGCCCCGAGTAGTTTTCAGCTAGCCTGCCTTGGAGCATGTCTTCTGTGTGTCTACTGTATTCTCTCCAATGACTAAGTGTGTGAACCGCGTGGGTGCCCATGCTTTTAGTGGCTCAGCCATGTCTCCAGGCCCTTCTGTTCTGTTCTTTAAGAAAGTATGCATTGGTTTCTAGGTGCCAAGTCTAGTGGTGGCAGGGAAGATTCAGAGTCGCCTGGAGCACAGAGAAGTGCCCCCTCCGAAGCAAGCTCGGGAGACTTCTTAGACCTCAAGGTCAGTGTGAGAACAAGATGGTGGGCTCCTTGGCGAGCCAGCCAGCATGTGGGGTGTAGATCTTTAGTCCCGAAGTAGACCTCTCTGAGGTCAAGGCCAGCCTGGACTACAGAATGAGTTCTAGGACAGCTAGAGCTACCCAGAGAAACCCTGTCCTGAAAAACAAAGCAAAGCATTCTTATTTTTTTTAATGGCTCAGTTCTCCTTAAGCGAATGGACTGAGCCATGGTGGTGACGGAGATGAAAGGCTGGGATTGGACAGAAAGGCAGACAAGAAGGCTGGGGGTGGAGCTCACTTGGAGTGTTTCCTTCGCTTTCCAGAAGCCTGGGCCTCCCCCCATCTCTGCCTCATGAGGCCAAAATTAGGTGGCTCATACCATATTCCCAGTACCTGGGTGGTGGTGGCAGCAAGATCAGCTACACAGGGTTCTAAACCAGCCTGAGCTATATGAACCCCTCCTTCAAACAAAAGCCTAAGGGAGGCCAGGGAGTCAGACAGCAAGTTAACGTGTGTCTTACTATTGGGTTAGTTTTGGGCCCCACAGCATTAACTCTGGGGCCTTCTGAATCCTTTAACCCTTGAGTGTCTTGAGTTGAAGGACTGTCAGTTGTCTGAATGTTTGGGTTGAACTTCAGGAAATGGCAGCACTGACGTCACAGTGGGATCTCTGTAGATAGAGCTGCCAGTGAGCCCCCTGGGTGTGTTTGGGAGGAACTCTTCCTTCTAGGCACCTCAGAGTACCCTGAGGCATCAACTTCTAGGTGTAGGGAGGCTGTGGAGTAAATCTGGCCCTTTAGCAGCTAGCTAAATAGGGGAAGAAGGAAAAATAACAAAAAAGGGCAAGTCTAGGCTCCCCTTACCATGTCCGTCCGTCGTCGTCGTCCGTCGTCCCCCCACCCCCACGCCCCCCCCACCCCCACACCCCCCGAGACAGGGTTTCTCTGTATTGCTTTGGAGGCTGTCCTGGAACTAGCTCTGTAGACCAGGCTGGCCTCGAACTCACAGAGATCCGCCTGCCTCCGCCTCCCAAGTGCTGGGATTAAAGGCGTGCGCCACCAACGCCCGGCTCCCCTTACCATGTTTGAGAAAAGATTGTGTGTGTGTGTGTGTGTCTGTCTGTCTCTCTCTCTGGCATTGAGGCATTTATTGTGTAGGACAGTTGCCTAGCATTGCCCTGGATTGTATTGAGCTGGATCCTGCAGTTACTACAATGGAATTTCACATGTAATTTCAACTGGGCTGGCTGCTCTGAACTATTTTGTGCTTTGCAGAATTAAAACAGGAACTAATTTTGAATTTTTCTTTTCCAGGGAGAAGGTGATGTGCATGGTGAGTACATCTGAGTGCTGACCCCATCCTCTTATGCTTAGTTCTGAATTAACGATCAAATCATGCGTCTCAGGGAAAGAGACCTGAGCATGTCTCAGGGCCAGCTGGAGTGGAGTCAGGTGGCCACATTTACACACACTTATTACACACAGTCAGTGTGACCACATTTATTGCACACACACACATTTATTACAGTTTTTTTTTTTTTTTTGGTTTTTACAAGACAGGGTTTCTCCGTATTGTTTTGGAGGCCTTGAACTCCCAGAGATCCTCTTGCCTCTGCCTCCCAAGTGCTGGGATTAAAGGCGTGTGCCACCAACGCCTGGAAACACACACACATTTATTATACACACACAGTCAGTGTGGCTATATAATGCACACATAAATTTATTACACACACACACTTTTTTCCAAGACAGAGTTTCTCTGTGTAGCCTGTCTTGAAAAACCAAAACAAACAAACAAACAAAGAACACAACCCTGGTTCCTTGAAAGAGTAGCACGTGCTCTTAACGACTGACTGCTGTTCAATTCCCAGCACCCACACGGCAGTTCTCAGTTGTCTGTATGTCTGTAACTCCAGTTCCAGGGGGTCCCACACCTTCACACAGACACACGTTGGGCAAAACACCAATGCACATAAAAGTAACAGTCACGCCGGCCATTGGTGTCGCACGCCTTTAATCCCAGCACTCGGGAGGCAGAGGCAGGCGGGTCTCTGTGAGTTCCAGACCAGCCTGGACTACCAAGCGAGTTCCAGGACAGCCTCCAAAGCCACAGAGAAACCCTGTCTTGAAAAACCAAAGTAACAGTCACTACAACTAACACCCAAGCCACGTATATATTAAATCAGGTAGCACAAGCCTTTTTTTTTTTAAAGATTTATTTATTATATATACAATGTTCTGTCTGTATGTATACCTACATGCCAAAAGAGAGGATACTACGTCTCATTATGGATGGTTATGAGCCATCATGTGGTTGCTGGGAATTGAACTCAGGACATCTGGAAGACCAGCCAGTGTTCTTAACCATTGAGCCATCTTTCCAGCCCTAGCACAAGCCTTTTAATCCCAGCTCTTGGGAGCTGGGGCTTTTACCCTCCAAAGTGTCTTCTTGGTGGCCCATTGCTGTCAGGGTTTATTCTGTTAGAAAGGACTGAAAAGAAAAAAAAGCCCCAAAACCAAAGAATCTGTTAAAAGATGTATTAATCAGGCCAGTGTTTGGTGTGCTTACTGACAGTTGTTTCTAAGAGGTTCTGGGCTGGAGAGATAGCTCTGTGGTTGAGAGCACTTGACTACTCCTCAAGAGGATCCAGGTTCAAGTCCCAGCACCGACATGGTGTCTCACAGCTGCCTGTAATTCCATTTACATGGGGATCCAACAGCCTCCTAACTAATGTGGGCATTGTGCATGTGCATGGTTTATAGACACTCAGGCATAGACATAAAAATAAAGATTTTTTTGTTTTGGTTTTTCAAGACAGGGTTTTCTGTGGCTTTGGAGGCTGTCCTGGAACTAGCTCTTATAGACCAGGCTGGTCTCGAACTCACAAAGATCCGCCTGTCTCTGCCTAGAAATAAAGATTTAAGATGGGCATGGTGACACAGGCCTTTAATCCCAGCATTTGGGAGGCAGAGGCAGGAGGATCTGTTGTGAGTTCAAGGCCAGTCTGGTCTATATCTCAATTTCCAGGACAGCCAGGACTACATAGAGATCTTGTCTTAAAACAAACTCTTTTAGAAACAGGATTTCTATTTAGTCTTGTGTGGTCTAGACTTTGTAGAGCAGGCTGGCCTTGAACTTGCAGAACCCCGAGTTCTGGCATTAAAGGCATGAGTGACTCCAGTGTGATCCTGTGTCTGTCTTTCTGGGCAGCCCAGGGTTGGCAATCTAGGGATGCACTGGCTACCACACCTAGCCCTCCTAGCTCTGCAGTTCTGCACATCTTCAGAGCACTGCCCATCAGACCGTACTTAACAGAACCTGCTGAAAACAGCCCCTCCTCACAGCCCACACACCGTATGGCTGCCAGCCAAGTACTCTACCACTGAGCTACAGTCCTAGCAAAGCCTGGAGACCTGAAAGCCTGAAGTAGTATGTCTTGACTAATGGTTTGCTCCCTGCTCCTCTGCCCTAGCTCAGCTTGTAGGTCCTACAGGGAAACTGCTCACTGAACTCAAATATGGAGTCCTCTTGAAGTAGTCATGTGTCCCTTGGTTATTCTGGGATTCTGAGTGCTGTAACTTTTAGCCATTTGTCATAAAATAACTAATATGCACTTGGTAGATTAAAGAGCAACTCTTATATCTTTCAGTTAGCTTCAAGGAAGGATGTGCTGAACATTGAGATAGGCTTTGTTTGGATGTAAGGCAAGTTGTCCCAACCTTCTATGCAATCAAATACAAGAACGGTACACAGGGATTTGGACCTTAGGGGAGGGCTGTGCCTGGTGGCTCTGTAATCCCAGCACATTGGAAAGTGAAGCAGAACAATCGAGACAAGAGTTCAAGGCCAAGTCTGGGCTGCAGGAGGACATGGGGGGAGAAGGGGCGGTGGGGAACTAGCTAATGAGCTGATGTGCTGGTTTATGTCTTCACTTTTAAACTCCAGCACTTGGAACCAGGATAGCCAGGGTTATATAATGAAACCCTGTCTGGAAAGCATGGGTGGGGGCAGCGTCTGGAGTGGAGGCTTGAGGCTCAGTGGTAATGTTGGCTTTAGCAAGCCAGCGGCCTGGGCTTATCCTCAGATGTGTGTGGGGGAGAAAGGGAATGTGGCAGCCGTCTTCCTCCCACAAGATAGAGGCAGTAGTCTTCCTTCTGACCCTGAAGCTCACTGTGAACATTTTCTCAGTCCTGGCAGCCTTGTTTAGTTATTTTGTTGATGGGCTAAATAGCAAGTTATGTACAGTGTTTATATACCAGTGTTTATTCTGATGCACAAAGGCCTGGGTTTGATCTTCAGGGTTGCTATAGGAAAGTATTCCTCTTTAGAATTACAAGTTTGAACACTCACATTTATTGTCAAATTGCAGTGGAAGTATATACATATGCTTGGTTTTTTTTCTTCGAGACAGTTTTTCTCTGTGGCTTTGGAGGCTGTCCTGGAACTCGCTCTGTAGACCAGGCTGGTCTCGAACTCACAGGAATCCTCCTGCTTCTGCCTCCTGAGTGCTGGGATTAAAGGCATGCACCACCAATGCCCGGCTTCTATGCTTGCTTTTAAACGTTTTTTTAATGATTGTGAATTTTATGTCTGTTTTGCCTACGTGTGTGTCTGTGCACCCTTTGTGTGCTGGAGGCCAAGGAGGCCAGAAGAGGGCCTTGTAAGAGGAGACTGGAGTAAGAGCAGCCGGTGCTTTTTTTTATTTATTTTGAGATGACTTTTTTCTGTGTAACAGCCCTAGCTGTCTTGAAACTAGCTCTGTAGATCAGACTAGGTTTGAACTCAGAGATCCACCTGCCTCTGCCTCCCGAGTGCAGAGAATAAATGTGTTTGTTACCAGTGCTCAGCTATTTTGAGGCACGGCTTTTATGGTAACCCAGGCTAGCCTTGAACTCTGTCCTCTCTCCACTGCCAGCATGTGTGCTCATCACAGTGACTTACTTAGCACGCACACTGCTTGTGTGTACTCAGTGAAATATGAAACAGGCTCATTAATGACACAGGTGTCCGATGGTGAGAACGAATAGTCTGTGAAAATTACCTGCTGGGAGATTTTGATTTTTTTTTTCAGACCGGGTTTCTCTGTGTAGCTTTGGAACCTGTCTTGGAACTAGCTCTGTAGACATGGCTGGCCTTGAACTCAGATCCACCTGTCTTGCCTCCCAAGTGCTGAGATTAAAGGCATGTACCAACGGGTTGTCCTTTTATCTTTTTGAAAAGGTGTCACTATGTAGCCCTGACTGACCTTGAATATTCTATGTAGCAAAGTATGACCTTGAACTCCTGATTCTCCTGCCTCCACCACATGGCATTAAAGGCATACACGAAACAAGTGGGCAATACCCTAACGGGCTGACTGATATCTTTTGTATGGTTTTTCCACTTGTTTGAACCATTCTCAAACTCTCTTCCTAGAAAATGTGGACACAGACTTCCAAGCCAGCCTGGGGCAGATTGAAGAGAAGCCTGTGCCTGCTGCTCCTGTGCCCAGCCCAGTGGCCCCGGCCCCGGCGCCCTCCAGGAGAAACCCTCCTGGCGGCAAATCCAGCCTGGTCTTGGGTTAGCTTCTTCTGTTGGAACTCTGTCCTTCTGTCTGTCTGTTTTCCATGCTTGTGAACTGCACACCGTGAGCCTGACTGTACATCTTTTGGATTTGTTTCATTAAAAGAGAAGCACTTTATGTACTGCTGTCTTTTGTTTTTCCTTCCCTTTCTCTTCCCTCTTCCTTCTGTCTGACTTCTGGGTCTGTGGACCATGGCATGAATGTTTTCTAGTAGTAGACTGGAGTAGACTGTTTTTAAGAACAAAGGATCTGGCTGCTGATGTTGTTAGATGCTTTTGTACCAGGGTTTTGATGCTGTAATTTGGCTTAGTGGGTGGGACAGGTGGCAGCCACAGGTTGTCTGTGACGCAGCATGCTCCTCGGTGTCGTCACCACCAGTGTCCTTTGCAAGTGCGCCTTCCTGTGCATGTGGAGTGATAAGCGCGGGCACCTCGCCCTGCTGCCTGCAAAAGGAAGCCAGGGCCACTGTGACTGGCCAGCTGCCGGGCAGAGGCACCCAGGTGCAGAGGAAGGCTCCAGGTGTACCATCGAGCTGCCGGAACGGCAAGGTGAGGCACACAAGAAGGCATTCCCACAGGAGCATCTAATGGAATAACAATGCCACGTGCATGACACTGGTGCTTGACCATGAAGATGTCTCATCCTTGAAACTTGTACTTCTCAGTCCTGGACTCTTGCCTAAAGTAAACAATACCCACCTTTTGAAGCACTGTGTTTTGTCTTTTTTCCAGTGTGTGTGTGTGTGTGTGTAAGTGTAAGAAGGGGAAGGAAGAGTCTACTGTGAAGCTGAAGCTGGTCTTGAACTCTTGATTCCACATTCATGTGCAGTATTATAGGCATGTACTACCATACCTAGCTTATGCAGGGCTGAGGACGGAACCTACCCAGGGTTTTCCTGCCTGTCCTGCTTTCTGACAGTGTTTGAATGTTCTTCCCTAGAAACAATCCTGCCAATGATTTGAAAGTCCAAAGGGAAGTGGAATTTTCTTCAAAACCAGGTTTAGATTTTTTTTTCTTTTGAAACAGATTCTGGCTCTAGCTCTGTCGGGCATTAAGTCTGCTTCTGCCTCCCACAGGCTGGAGTAGGGATGTATACCACCATAGCTGGCCAGGATGGACAGCCAGGGCAGATGTAGGAGGCCCAGGCTTTGAACCTCTGCAGCCCCTTAGCCTCATGTGTAGGTGCCTATGGAGGTCAGTTTTGCCTCTCTGGGGATTACAGAATGCTCCAAAAAAAACAAAACAAAAAAAAAAAACCAAGGAGATCCTATTAATTAGGGTATACAAAAAAATTAGATCACAAAAGGTACAGATTAGGAGAGACTGATTGCAGACTCTTAAAGACTTTGAAAGATTGCTAAGAGATACTTCCCGTTTGCAGACCACTGTTGGGATAGAACCTTATGAACTGAGTAATTTGTTCAGTGCCCTAGAAGGGGACAAGAACTTAAACAGTCCAAGGAAATTACCAGATAAGCTGTAAGAATTAGCTTTGGAAAAAAGGAATTATAGAATGCACATGTGGATCCAAAGCTTAACTACATTCTGACTATATTACCCTTTGTGCAATCCCTACAGGGATTTTGATGCAGAGGAAAGATACTGGATTTGTTTTTTTTTAATGAGCTGGGAATTGAACCTTGGTCCTCTGTAAGGGCAGTCAGTGTTCCCAACCATTAAGCCGTCTCTCCAGCCTCTGGAATGGATATTTCTACCATATAAACAGTGAAAAAGACATGAAAATTTTCCGACTTGATTTAAAAAGGAAAACTAAAGACTCTTGCCAAATGATAGGAATTGACCCAGCAAAAATCACAGTACTTTTAACTAATGAGGAAATTTCTTTATAAAAGGTAATATTAGCCGGGCGGTGGTGGCGCACGCCTTTAATCCCAGCACTTGGGAGGCAGAGGCAGGCGGATCTCTGTGAGTTCGAGGCCAGCCTGGTCTACAAAGTGAGTTCCAGGACAGCCTCCAAAGCTACAGAGAAACCCTGTCTTGAAAAAAAAAAAAAAAAGGTAATATTAGGGGTTGGAGAGATGACCTGAGTTCAATTCCTGACAACCACATGGTGGCTCACAACCAGCTTGAATGAGATCTGGTGCCCTCCGATGGCATGCAGGCATATATGGTATGCAGGCAGAACACTGTATAGTTAATAAATAAATCTTAAGAAGGAAAAGTGGTCAGTGGGTTTCCAAAAATCATCCCAATGGGAGCAAGGAGGTATAGACGATGACACAGCCCCCATGAGTGAGGCAGAGAAGTAAGACCCAAGGGTCTGCAATTCCTAGTGTCCCAGGAATTCAGAGAGGGTTGGTTTTGAGACAGGCACAGGCCACCCAAGTGAGTCATCACACAAAGGTTGGGGGCCAAGAGGGTTTCCCTGGTAGCACGACTTCCAGAAAAGCCAGAGATGAGGAAAGAACTGTGTTCCGGAAAGGAAGCCTCACATGCAGGGGATGGTCATAAACGGATGACCCCACCAGAGACCAACTGTTGGCATTGAATGGAAGGCAAGGCTATATGTGAACGAGAGAGCAGATCTATTGAAGGGGAAGCAGGTGGGAAGGGTCCCAGCGTGAAGAGATTATAAAGTGCCGGGAAGCAGGTTTTTGGTAGCTGTATTCTGTGAGTGGAGTGATCCAGGGCGGGGGCTAAGGACCTAACTAAGGGTCCAAGACTGGCACAGGCCACCCAGTCGGTTGTCATGGAAAGGGCGAGGGCCAAGGTCTCAGCCTGAGAGAGCTGTGGTTTCTGATTCCAGGACGTATAGAGGCCAAAAAGAGAGAAGACATGCTTGAGAGGAGTCCTCACTTGTGGGGACAGCCTAAGGTGGGGAAGGTGGGTTGGCTCACCCATCATGCTAATTTTGCATGGAAGGACCCAGCGATCTGGATAAGTGAGACTGTTGGATGTAAACTGGGTTCCAGGGTCCTGGCATACCTCACACTGCCTGAGGGCAGGAGGAGATGCCAGGAGAGCCTTCTCAGTCAGGGAACCAATGTTTTTTGTTTGTTTTTGCGAGACAAGATTTCTCTATTGCTTTGGAGGCTGTCCTGGAACTCGCTCTGTAGACCAGGCTGGCCTGGAAATCACAGAGATCCGCCTGCCTCTGCCTCTTGAGTGCTGGGATTAAAGGAGTGCCCACCACAGCCTGGCAGGGAAACAATGTTATAATTTAAGAAAAGCAGTGTACAAGAGAGACAGAGGGCTGGAGAGATGGCTCAGCAGTTAAGAGCACTGACTGTTCTTCCAGAGGTCCTGAGTTCAATTCCCGGCAACCACATGGTGGCTCACAACCACCCTGAATGAGATCTGGTACTGTCTGCTGGCCTGCAGGCAGAAGGCTGTATACACAATAAATAAATAAAATATTTAAAAAAAAAAAAGAGAGACAGAGACAGACAGTTTTCAAGACATCAGAGTTCAAGCATAGAGTTTTTTATTAGGGAAAGGAATCATAAAAGGGGAAAGGGAAGGGGGAGATTGGCTTCTGGGGACAGGAGTCGGGGGAGGGAAGGAGGAAGGGAGATATCGAGAGAGGAACAGAGTGAGGGAGAGGAAGAAGGATGGGAGGTGGGCAGGGCCCTTTTAAAACGGAACACAGTGAATGTGCACAGGTGGCGCTCTTAGTGGCTGCAGCTGAGGGCGAATCCTGTCAGAACCCCAAGGGCGGCCGGTACAGATGCCCGAGTACTAACGCCTGGAGTATTTCTAGCTGTATAGTCCAGCCTGGCCTTGGAACTCTGCAGAAATCTGCCTTCCACTGCCTCCTGAGTGCTGGGATCAAAGGGCATGTGCCACCACCCCACCACCTAGCATAAATTTTTTTTTTTGGTTTTTTGAGACTGGGTTTCTCTGTATTGTTTTGGAGGCTGTCCTGGAACTCTCTCTGTATACCAGGCTGGCCTCTAACTCACAGAGATCCGCCTGCCTCTACCTCCCAAGTGCTGGGATTAAAGGCATGCACCACCAACGCCTGGCTGCATAAAATATTTTTAAATAAGTTACCCAAAGGGCAGGAGAAACACACTTGCAGATGAACCTTTTAACTCAGTTCATGTGTGTCGCGTCTGCTGCGCAGCCTGTGTCCGAGAACGTGCGGAGGGTGTCGGGGATTGACAACACAGAGGCTTGTTCAACGATGTAAAGAAAACTTTAAGCAGGCCCCAAAAAGGTTCAAGAAAACTTCCTAAGAAAGGCTCCCACCAGAGAAGCTTCTGCTCTCTCCTCTCCCCTGGCTGGTTCTGCTCTGACACCAAAAACTGATCTGGGCGTGGCAGAAGAGGCGGTTAGTCTTTGGACAAGGTCGAGGACAGGGCGGTTTCTGTGGGCAGGCCTTTTCCAGGAACTTATTGCCCCCGGGCATTGTATTGTTTTTAGTAAACATGTTTTTAGTAAAACATTGTCTCACAGCTGCCTACTCCCAGGCAGAAGGGGCAGTGGGTCTCTGCTCAAGGTCTGGTGTTCCCACACATGTGAGTTGCTTGACTTGGTGAAAATTCAGTCATAAAGTAAGGGCTTACCTTTTGTTCTGAGACAAGGTCCTCACTATGTATGTATTAAAGACCACCACACTTGGCTGGTTTGTTGTTTTAAACTGTAAACTGGCCTTTCTTCAAGAGAGATTTCAGGTTCTGTGTTGTGATGCTTCTACAGCTGGTTTAGGAGTCATCAAACAGCGGGGTGTAGTGGCCCCTCCTTTAATCCCAGTATTCCAGAGGCAGGCCTGGTCTACAGAGTGAGTGCCAGGATGGCCAGGGCTGTTACAGAGAAACCCTGTGGGGTGGAGATATTCATTAAATAAGGAAGAGTAGCCAGCAACAGGGCTAATTCAAACCTGCGTTTACAGGTTGGTATATCGATGTGGGAGTCGCCATGAACTTTGTGAAATCTACAAAAACAGGGGTGTGTGTCAACGTTTAACATTTTCTCTGGAAGGAAATAGAAGCTTTTGATTCTGCTGGAGACCTCGAATGCACAGAAAAAAAAGTGGACTCATTGAAACTAACTCTGGCTTATGACTCAGTTTCTCCAGAGCCCAGCTCATGCTCACAGTTGTCTTTAAAGGGTCCCTTCTTGAACTGGGAGCTACCCTCATGATCTGGGAATTGGGGTCCCCGTGTACACCTGACCACCTCCAGCCTGGACAAGCAAGGGAGAGGCAGAGAACGCGCAGCATGTGAAGCAGGTCCCACATTGCAAGGATATTTCGGATCTCAGGGAGGTCTGGGGAGAGGGCTACTGAAACTACTCAGGAGTGGCGGCCCAGTGAGGGACGCAGGGTCATCCTGGGTATCTTGCTGGATGCCCTATGCAAATGAGCCGGGTCCGGGGCCCCGCCCTTGCCCACGTCCCGGAAGCTTCTTCGCGGGGCTGACATCCTCTGCCTTTGCTCGGCGGAGACCCCGGGCGCAGCCATGGCGGCGCGGCGGCCGGTGCGCGTGCTGGTGGACATGGACGGCGTGCTGGCCGACTTCGAGTCCGGCCTCCTGCAGGGCTTTCGCCGCCGCTTCCCCGGGGACCCGCACGTGCCGCTGGAGCAGCGCCGCGGATTCCTCGCCAGCGAGCAGTACCGAGCCCTGCGGCCGGACCTGGCGGTAGGAAGCCCGAGAGAGATCCTCGATTCCCCTCCCTGGGCAGGGCCATCTGGGTTCTATACCGGGCACCCCAGCTCCTGAATCCACAGCCCACTAACACACCAGAAAGCTTGAGAGCAAGCGCTCACCCACTCCAGCATTTGTCCCCAGCGTGGACTCGGGCTGGTTATTGTGGGTCCTCTCTGGGCTCCCCCTGCTGTAAGGCAGGGGCGGAACGAGATCTGTCTCTTCCAGGAGAAACTGGCCAGTGTGTATGAAGCTCCAGGCTTTTTTCTAAACTTGGAGCCCGTCCCTGGGGCCGTGGACGCTTTGCGAGAGATGAACGACCTGCAAGAGTAAGCGGGGTGGGGAGGGGCGGCGGGAGGTCGGCCGGCTGCCCAGGCCTGACCGCCCCCTCTCTCCGCAGCACCGAGGTCTTCATCTGCACCAGCCCACTGCGGAAGTACGACCACTGTGTGGGCGAGAAGGTGCCGGCGCCTGCGCAGATTGAGCTTTCCAATTTTGATTTTAAAAATAAACCACAGAAAGTGGGGGTTGGGGGAAAGGGGTATCTCACTTTTGGAGGCTTGGTCCCATTTAACCCAACATCTCACTGACGCTGCATTTAGAGTGTAGCCAGCCCATTGATGGAACCTTTTTCTCCCCGCCTATACAGTACCGCTGGGTGGAGCAGAACCTGGGGCCTCAGTTTGTGGAGCGGATTATCCTGACTAGGGACAAGACAGTGGTCATGGGAGACCTGCTCATTGATGACAAAGACACCATTCAAGGTTGGGCCAGTTAACCTTGACAACCTCCAGGCATCTGGCCTGCTGGGATTAGGTAGAGGAGTGAAAAATAACCAGATTACCGACGACAGGATGTGCCTTTTGTGCCCCAGGCCTGGAGGAGACCCCAAGCTGGGAGCACATCCTGTTCACCTGCTGCCACAACCAGCACCTGGCCCTGCCCCCCACCAGGAGACGCCTGCTTTCCTGGAGCGACAACTGGAAGGGGATCATAGACAGCAAGCGAGCCGGCCTGTGAGCGAGCCGGCCTGTGAGCCAGCGGGGGTGGGGTCAACAAGAACCGACAGGGACAGGTGACTTTCTCCAAGCAGTAACCTCCACTGGAACAAATCTGCCTTCCCAAGATGGTCACACACAGGAGCAGGGCTGGCACAGAAATACAATGGGAAACTCAGTTAGGAGGCTTTTAATAAAAATAAAGACTAAAAGCAAGGCTTTGGTTCTTTGAAGACCTCTCAGGAGAGAAAACGTCCGTGCCCTGGGGTGGGGTGGAGAGCTGAGACTCTGATAAAAGAACCCACTTTCTTCCCTCATCCAGGGCTGCGGGGACAGCCCCACATCCCTTAGATCTCCTTCCTCTAACACAAGGGGGCAGTGCTGAGATCAGCACCCCCATTTTCCTGAACCCCAACTTCTCATCAGGTCAGACCACCTTTGCCCCAGTTTCATTTTTTCTTTCCACTGGCATGGGGGGGGCGTTACCACTTCAGGGTCCTGCTGTCCTTCAGACATCAGTGGGACCCTGTTTCTTCCTTTTGTGACAGGATCTTACCCATAGCCCACTCATGCCATCCCCCTGCCTCTTGCTCAAGTGACAGGACTACAGGTTTAAGCCACTGCGCTCTTTTGTTAGCATTCAGACATCCACACTGGCATCTGGTTTCTAGGTGTCTTTACTGGAGATCTGCATCGGAGTCCTAACCGGTTTGGAGGCTGGAGGCTGCTGGGACAAGGGCAGGAAGCAGATCTGGACAGCCTGGAAGGGTTTGCATTCAAGGCTCCCATCCTAGTGTCAGGAGATCTGAGGCCAGGGAGAGGGGGCCAGAGCAACTTTTCTGAAGCACAGAGATGCCACAGGTGGCAGCTGGTACCTGAGGGGTCCACAGCCTGGTCACAAAGGGAGCAAAAGTCACTGTCTCGGTCCTGTGTAGGGACTCAAAGGGACAAGGTGTGCACCTCCACAGTGAGCTCCTGTCTTTTTTTTTTTTAAGATTTTATTTATTTATTATGAATACAACATCCTGCCTCTATGTATGTCTGCAGGCCAGGAGAGGGCGCCAGATCTCATTATGGATGGTTGTGAGCCACCATGTGGTTGCTGGGAATTGAACTCAGGACCTCTGGAAGAGCAGTCAGTGTTCTTAACCTCCGAGCCACCTCTCCAGCCCCGAGCTCCTGTCTTTATTATGCTTTTAACTCCCGGAGGGCCTTGCCCTTGATGTCTCTGAGGTGTGGCACCCAGGGCAGACTTCATCTTGGCATTGCTGGCAGGGGCTGGGTTGTGCTGACAGTTGTTTCTGCTGTGCCCAAGTGCCCAGCCTCAGGACTGGAGGAGTTACCTACCCCACAGCACCTTCCTGCGACAAGGCAGACCAACCTCAGCCATCAGAGTTACTCTGGACACTCACGCTACTGGCGACTCTCCCGAGTCTTGGTTCCAGCAGCTGCTCGAGTATACCCTATGCGAAGCTTTTACACGCGGGTGTCAGCTGGGCACCGGAGGTGGTTTTCTGCCTGTAGTTTGTTGAGATCGCCAGTCCACAAAAGCCATGCCAGCTTTGGTTTTCTCCTCTAAGTGCCTTAAGTCTGGCTTCTTCACTCCTACGGCTTTTCCTAGCTGCAAATAACTGCTGTGCCCAGTACTGCACCTTGTACACAGCCCAACAGGCACCACTTGGGCAGGATGGGCTCAACCTCTGCTTCCTATGCCCATGTCAGCACTGGTTTCAGGCAGAAAGTGGCAGGGTCTTGGGGTCTCCTTGGATCAGGGCTGCTGTGGGGCCTTGGTCTTTGGCAGTGGGATACCCAGGGCAGAATGGGCCTGCTGGCTTTGGGCCTCAGCCACCTGGCTCGGGGAGCAGAAGTCCTCTAGGAAGATCTGGGCCAGGTTCCGGAGCCTTGTGTTGGCGGAGAGTGAAAAGCGCAGCATGCACTGGACCACAGGCGAGGAGGTGAGCTCCGGGTGGGAGCCAGCGCCCCGTGAGCTCAAGTACATGAGTGTGGTGACAGCCGATAACACCGTCTCCTCGTCAGGGCTGGACAGACAGTTGGTGATGAGCGGGATGCCTCCAGCCTGTAGGATGTGCTCCTTGTTGGCCTTGTCCGGGCACAGGTTGCAGAGGCCCCCTGGGGAAAGGCAAGGGTGAGCCCTGGTGCTGAGGTCCGGGGTCCTCTCATCGCTCCCCCCAGCTTCTCTCTGGCTAGTGAGTCCTGGGGGAGTACCCAGATCCCATGGGCAAGGACTGCAAGGTCACTAAAACCCAGGCTTCAGGGGGTTCAGCCTGTCACTATTATCCGTCAAGTACTGCACTGTTACTAGGATTCTGGGGAGCAGGAAAGTTCACAGTGAGAGACCAGTGATTCTGGATTTAAAAACTGTCAAGAGCGGGGAGGGGACTGGAAGGAGAGGAAGGAGGGGGAACTGCAACCAGTATGCAAAATAAATAAATTTATTTAAAAAGGAAAAAACTGTCAAGAGATGGCTCAGAGGCTAAGAGTGCTCACTGCTTTTCCAGAACACCTGTGTTCTGTTCCCAGTACCCACAAGGTGGCTCACAATCACTTGTGACTTCAGTTCAGGGGCTCAGTGTTCTCTTGTCTCTGTGGGTACCACGCATGCATGCAGTGAATGTACACACATGTACATACATGCAGACAAAACACTAAGATAAAACAAAACACCTGCATTTGCACAGGCAGACAACCAAGACCTCCTTTGTCCCCTCAAATTAATGACCTCTTGGTCTTGGGGACAGATGCTACCTTTTCTAGAGGGGCACTTTGCTTAGCTCTGCTCCTTGTTGCCGGAAGATGATTTCCTGTACTCACTGACTCAGCTTCCGGCCATCAGGCCCCTCTGCCTAGCTGGCAGCATCCCCTGAAGGTGAAGAGTAGGTGAGGCTCCAGGAGAAGGCCTGAGAGTCTCTGAGACAAGAAGACTGGAATGGGGCACCAAGATGGCACCAGATGACCCCAGAGCCCCTGCCCAGCCCCGTCCCTGAGCCTGCCTGCTGGGAGAGCTAAGAAGGGCAGAGGTGCACACACCTTTAATCCCAGCACTCTGAGTGAGTTCGAGGTCAGCTACACAGAGAGGGATTCACAGAGAAACCCTGTCTCAAACAAACAAACCCCCCCCACACACACACACACTAAGAGCTGAATTCAGGGCCAGCCAGGTCTACAGAATGAGTTCCAGGACAGCCAGGGCTACACACAAGCCCTGTCTCAAAAAGCAAACAAAAAAGAATAGTGCCGGGCGTTGGTGGCGCACGCCTTTAATCCCAGCACTAGGGAGGCAGAGGCAGGGGGATCTCTGTGAGTTCGAGGCCAGCCTGGTCTACCAGAGTTAGTTCCAGGATAGCCTCCAGAGAGCCCTGTCTCGAAAAACCAAAAAAAAAAAAAAAAAAAAAAAAAAAAAAAGAATAGGAACAAACAAACAAAACACAGAAGGACTGGCCAGGAGGTAGTATAACACGCCTTTAATCCAGGCGGATCTCTTTGAGTTTGAGGCCAGCCTGTTCTACAGAGCAAGTTCCAGGACAGCCAAGACTACAATGAAAAACCCTGTCTCAACCTACACCACAAAACAGGTGGAAGCAAAAATTGGAGCATCAGCTCTGCCCAGGCTTCTCCTCTGCAAACTTGTTGGGCTGGAGAGATGGTTTAGCAGTTAAGACTATTGACTGTTCTGGGACCTGGGTTCAATTCCCAGTACCCACATGGCCATTCACTACTGTTTAGGACTCCAGTTTCAAGGAATCTGACACCCTCACACAGATATACATGCAGGCAAAACACCAATGCACATAAAATAAAATAAATTAAACAACAACAAACCCAATGGACTGGGGAGAAGAAGGCTCAGTAGTAAAGACCACACACTGCTCTTGCTACCACCTGAGTGCAGTTCCCAGCACTCAGAAAGTAGCTCACAAGTACTTCACTCAACTGCAGCTTCACATTCCCCGATTACCATGTCCTCTTCTACCTGCCCACAGGGACCTACCCCACCTTCATCACACACACACAGACACACACACACACAGACACACACACACACACACACACACACACACACACACACACGAAATAAAGATTTGTTTGTTTTTTGAGACAGGGTTTCTCGGTACTGTTTTGGAACCTGTCCTAGAACTCGATCAGCAGACCAGGCTGGTCTCAGACTCACAGAGATCCGCCTGCCTCTTTCTCCCTAGTGCTGAGACTAAAGGCATGCACCACCAATGCCTGGCCATGAAATAAAGATTTTAAAAACTTTAAAGATAAACTGGCCGGGCGGTGGTGGCGCACGCCTTTAATCCCAGCACTCGGGAGGCAGAGGCAGGCGGATCTCTGTGAGTTCGAGGCCAGGCTGGACCGACAGCCTCCAAAACAATACAGAGAAACCCTGTCTCGTAAAAACCAAATAAATAAATAAATAAATAAAATAAAGATAAACTGGGCGGTGGTTCGTGCATGCCTTTAGTCCCAGCACTTGGGAGGCAGAGGCAGGCGGATCTCTGTGAGTTCGAGGCCAGCCTGGTCTACCGAGTGAGTTCCAGGACAGCCTCCAAAACAATACAGAGAAACCCTGTCTCAAAAAACCAAAAAACAAAAAACAAAAACAAAAACCAAACCACAGTGGAGAGTCACAGAGGGATACCCTTAACATCCATCTCTGGACACCATGCTCATGAACACACACACACAAAGAATAAATTTGAGAGTGTGTGTGTGTGTGTGTGTGTGTGCACGCGCACGCTAGAATCTCACAGCATAGCTCTGGCTGGCCTGGAACTTGCTATGTAGACCAGGGTGGCATTGAACTCATAGACTCATTTGCTTCTGCCTCCCAAGTGCTGGCATTAACATCCTGTGCTACCATGCCTCCTTACAAACCCTACATTTTTGTTTTAAAAAACCAGATTTAGGATGTATCTCACATGACTTCACTTATATAAAAGACCAAGACCAGGTTTTAAAAAAGCCATGGGGGACACCCCCATGGAGGGCCTCACCTTCCCTGGGGAAATGAGGGGATAATAGGGGGGTTGGGGGGAGGGCACGGGAGGAGGGGAGGGAAAGGGAGAGGGACCTGGAATTGACTTGTGAAGCAACCTTGTTTCTTATCTAAATTTAAACTGAAAAACAAAACAAAACAAAAAAAAAGAATATACCAAAGGGAAAAAAAAAAAAGCCATGGGGACAGAGGTCAGATCTGTGCCTGTGTGGAGCGCATGGGATAAACAAGCCACATCTTGAGGGAGGAGTCACTGCATGTAGGGACACATACCCTAGTAAACTTAAGGGTTAATTAGACTGCCACTTATACATTCATCATACTGCATTTACAAGACTGTTACAAAACAAAAGGGCGGGCTGGGGTGTGGCTTGACAGTGGAGTGCTGGCCTCGGTTCCAGGTTTATCCCCAGCACCACCAAAAAGAAAGGAGAGAGAAAAGCAAGTCCTGACTAGCTGAAGAATTTGCTTTGGACAGACAAAGACTGGGAAAAAACAGCTGGAGGCAAGAGGCAAAGGCTCAACTGGACACCGGTAACCATAGAAACCCTGAGAGGCAGGAGGGGGGGGAACTGGACTCATCGGTGCTGGGAAGGCTCTCAGAGGGATTTTCCTGGGGATTAAGAGGCGACACAGGCTCAAAATCACTGGGCACCTGCTGACTGGGAGAGCTCTCCTTGAGGAGGTCTGAGGTGCTACCTCAACTTAAGGACTTGTCCACACCGTGGACGAAACCTTCCTCAGATTAGGATGAGGTGGTAAGCCCTCGCAGTCCTAGCCACAGGGCCACTGAGGAAGGAGGACCACTTGAGCTCAGGCGCCCATGGGCAGCATGGGTGGCACAGGAAGACCTTCCTTCACTCCAAACAGAAAGCCAGGCCAGGGAGTACAGGGAACGGCCCTTGAGCCTGCCTGCTGACCCAAGTCCAACCGCAGGCTCCCACATAAAGGTGGCAGGAGAAACCGGACTCCATAAAATTGACCCCCACATGTATGCAATGGCATGTATGTACACCCCGCCCACATCACACACAACAGTCATACAATAAAGTCTAAAAACCTAACAAAAGGCTTCACTGGAGGCTGATCTGTTCTCGGGTTTTACGTCAGCACCTTGAAAATGCTACCTCATCACCTGTGAATGAAAGAAAAATATATGCGCATGTATATGCTCACATCCATGAACAACACAGAAACTGGCTGGCTGCAAAGACAGGATTCGGTATGGGGACAGAAGTGGGGCGAGGCTTCTCTGAAAACACCTTGTGACATCATCTCCTTTTTTTAATAGACAGGGTGCTACTATGAAGCCCATGCGGTTCTTGAACTGGTCACCCTCTCAGCTCTACCTAAGTGCTGGAATTATAGGTGTGCAGCACTGTTCTTGGTAGATGACACGGCTTTTTGCTACTGCTTTGGTCAGACTGGCAAGATGTAACGCAGGTCAAGGATATACACCAAGATCCATAACTATAGTTAAAATATCTACAGTAGGATGTGGTGGCTTATACTACAATTCTACTACAATTCTGGTACTTGGGAGGCTGAGGCACAATGTTGCCCCAAGTTCAAGGACAGCATGGACTACACAGTGAGTTGCAAGCTATCCTGGTTACTGAGTATGACCCTGCCTCAAACAATAACACAAACATACATACAGCTTACCTCATGTACAGATTATACAAAAATTACACATGATACATACATGTGGATTTACAAATCGAGAAACAGTCTCTGGAGAACATACTGAAATCTAGCTGTAGGACGCATCACCAGAGGGGGTGGAGACTACTGAACAGAGTGGAGTGTCTGACAAGCACACAGGAGGCCTTGGAGTCCACACCCTAGCACAGTATCAACAACCCCAGAAAGCAGGCAGGCCTAGTGGCACCTTAATCCCAACCCCTGGAAGAAGAGGCCGGCATCTGTGAGTTTGAGGCTAGCCCAGTCTACAGTGTTCGAGGCCTGCTGGTACTACATAGTGAGGCCTTATCTAAAATCAAACAAACAGCAAACCGAAAGAAAAAAGGGGAAGAAAAAGCAATACTCTTCCATGTATACATGCATGCGCACGGCAAGGCATTCCTATGTAGCCCTGGAACTCCCCATG